AGTTGCAGGGGATCTTGTCCCAGCATTACAAAGCATTCAACATTCTGGAGAAAGGGGCTGATGATTCAAGAAGGAGTACAAAGATGAAAGATAATTTTGAAAGGCATTGGGGGGTCACAGGATCTTCAGCTAAAGGAACTGAAAACTCCCTTATCTAAGGACCCCGTGCTATTTATTCAACACAATTTGTCCTAAGGCAAGGTGGAGATATACACTTTAAAAGGTAAGGTTTAAAAGGGTTTACAAAAGCATTGTCAGTTTGGGGAATAGCCTACAACTCTTCAGGTGTTTGACTAACAGGAGGTAGTAAAATGCCCTGAGCTATCTGGCAGCAGACAATCCTATTTAGGTTTGAGGTAAGTGCTTGCCTTTTAGCAGTTCCAACAGTTAAACTACATTTGACTGAACCCTTGTTGAGCTCCCCAAGCTTCACTAACCTTTTGGTGAAACTCTTGTAATTATGACATGCAGAATTGGTTCCCAGCAGCTAGTGAGTTCAGTAATTAGAGTGTCTGCTCAAGCACCCAGCCTTGGCTGGGTATGTGCTCCAGGGAGGCGACCAATTGATATGTCTTTCTTTTCTCTCAACTCCCCCCCACCCTCATTGTAAAAAAAAAAAAAGAGGAATATCCTCAGGTAAGAATTAACAACAAAAAAAGGATACGTGACACAGTATTCTTTTATCTTTTATGATATTTATGTGCCAATATTTACCTGATATAGTTTCTAAGTGGACAATGCTGACAATAAAAGAGTAACACGCTAATTGACTGAATCTTCAAGATGCCTACCAATCAGGAGTTTGCAAATTAACCCAACAAAAATGGTGGGTTAATTTGCATACACAGGCGATAGTGGCCAGGGGCGGGGCAGGCATTCCGCACCACCCCAGCTGCTCTAGGCCTCTGGGCAGCATGGGAAGGCGGAAAAACAGCTCCAGCCAGAGAGAAGGCAGTGCTGGCAGCCAGGGGAAGGAAGGCCCATTCTTGCACGAATCTTCATCCATCAAGCCTCAAGTAATATAATAATGACTAGAAGAAAACAGATGGAGATAAAAAAAAAAAAAAAATCACTAGACTAGAGAAAAATAAAGAGTCCATTGAACTCAGATGGTAAATGGTGATAACTTTTTCCTGGTATATTGAGCTTCTGTAACAGGGGAAAAAAGGATACTACTCAAGAATGGAAATGAAATATCCAGGAATAAAATCATGAGAAATGTATATTGTGGGAGAAACTAAAATTTTATTTAAGGACATAACAGAAGATAGAAACAAATACATGTTGGATGGTAATGTTCAATATTATAAAAAAGTTGTAATTACCTCCAAATTACTTCTGAAATATTGTATAATAACCAAAAAAATTCTTTATATAACTTAAGATGATGATTCTAAAGTTTATATGAAAAAATAAATGATTTTATGATATATGCCAATGTTTCAAATGTTTATTGTTTCTTTTTAAAATGTTTTATCTCTGCAATATATGCATAGTATTTAAAAAAATAAAAAGTAGTACAGGAGGGCATGACAACCAATAAATCCCTGTCCAACCTCCTCATCTCTCAAGTCCCCAAATCAGACACACACTCTTCAAAGGTCTGTTTTTAGTTATTCTGGTAGCTACCTCCATTTTTCTCAGTAAAATGCTTTTTTTTTTTTTTTTTAATCCTCACCTGAGCTATTACTGTTTTTTAAAAATTGATTTGAGAGAGAAACGAGAAACATTGATTGACCTGAGATACTTTCTGTTGACCCTACAATGACTAGTTGTTCCTACTGTCTCCTCCCCCTTCAACATGATCATATGACTATTTTTGCCTCCTCTATTGGCTAGCGCTGGTCACTTTATTTATTTTTATTGATTTCAGAGAGGAAGGGAGAGGGAGAGAGAGATAAAAATATCAATTATAAGAGAGAATCATTGATCAGCTGCCTCTTGCACACCCCCTACAGGAGATTGAGCCTGCAACCCGGGCACGTGCTCTTGACTGGAATCGAACCCAGGACCGTTCAGTCCATAGGCCAATAATCTATCCACTGAACAAAACCAGCTAGGAGTATGCTGGTCACTTTATTAATGTGTCTTATTCTCTAACATTTCCTGACTCCACATTCTATTTTATGAAGACAACAGAATCACTACCACTCTATTTACATTTCTTTCCCCTTCAGCCTGCCAACCTGTAACTCCATACATTGTCAAGGTTGGTAACATTTGCATTATATTCTGTAATCTTAAGTCTTTCTTACTTTGTCTAAGGTTTGACTTCAAAAACTAAAAACCAATATTTACATTTCAATTATTTAAATACTGTTCACTGAGTAGCAACATTTTATACTATAATTAGATTTCCTTGATCCATGTGTCAGTGTTCAAATGGCTTCCCTTTCTGATACTCTCTGCAACTGTTCAAAGTCATCTTAGGTTGCTTCATAATTAAAGCATGCTTTTTTTTTTTTTTAATATATTTTATTGATTTTTCACAGAGAGGAAGAGAGAGGGATAGAGAGTTAGAAACGTCGATGAGAGAATCATCGACCAGCTGCCTCTTGCACACCCCCTACTGAGGATGTGCCCGCAACCAAGGTACATGCCCTTGACCGGAATCGAACCCGGGACCCTTCAGTCCACAGGCCGATGCTCTATCCACTGAGCCAAACTGGTGCCAGCAAAGCATGCTTTTTTGTACGCTTTGAAATGTGCACCCTGAAGTTTCCAGTTGTCATTGTTTTGGAGGATGAAGAAATGTATGCCTTCTGTGTAAGTCACTGTGTTCCCCCCCAGCTCCCTACTCAATCTATATATTACTTAAAATCCATTTCACTTCCTATTCTAATCTGGAGGACTTACCTCCCATTTGGACTGTTCTTGTACAGATTAGCATTCCCTAAAATTTTAGTTGTATTACCCATTTTTTTAAAAAGCATTCTGTACTCTTTCTCATTTTGCAAAGTTTATGCTGATTTTTATTTTGTGGATATAATAGTTTCTCAGATATTGCTAAGGATTTTAATATTTTTAAGTTCTTTTCTGTTCCTTAAATAATCTATTTGCTCAAGAGTCTACTCTTTACCTAGCCAGTTTGGCTCAATGGATTAGAGCAGTGGTCTACAAACTCATTAGTCAACAGAGCAGCAAACTGCGGCTCATGAGCCTCATGTGGCTTGCGAGCAGTGGTTTGCGGACCACTGGGACTGACGGGTCCCAGGTTCAATTCTAGTCAAGGGCACATATCTCATACCTCGGTTGCAGGCTCAATCCCTGGCCCCAGTCCCCCAGGTCAGGGCATATGTGGGAGGCAACCAATCAATGTTTCCCTCTCACACCAATGTTTCCTTCTCTCTTTCTCTTCCTTCCACTCTCTCTAAAAAGCAATGGAAAAATATCCTCAGGTGAGGATTAATAACAACAAGAAAGTCTATTATTCATATTATTTTAGGTTTTTCTAATTATATTGCAGGCTTTCAACAAATGGTGATTTTCAAGTCTGCAGGCAGAGCCAGTAGTTTTGCTCCAGGGTGGGTGAGCCAGTGAGTGAGAATCAGCTCCTGCTGAGCCCAGAGATGACACAAAGCAAGCAGTGGCTCTGTAGGCAGATGTTTAGCATAAAAGCAGAGCAAGTCCATGGTGAGTCAGCAAGCCGAGTAAAAGAAGGTGGGTAGTGTGCACTTGAACTTCTTAAAGAAGAGTGCTTTCCTGCCAATCTTTCTAAAGTGGCTGGGCTAAGGTAACTCTCAGTTATTCTTAGTTCAATGTCTTATTTTTTTCATATCAGAAATGGATAATATAGTTCTTGTTCATATATTTGTTTATTTTCTTAGGATCTGACTATACCACTGCATTATAAACAGATGCATATGATACATATATATGATATAATATGGAGCAAATTCCAAGAGATAAAAACTTGGCTTTATAAGCATATGTAATACTCATAATCAGGGATAGTCCTTAAAGGTAAATCCACTTTGATATATATTTAAAATATTTAGGGTAATTAATTGCATATGATCATAACTTGCAAGTCATGATTATGCTTTGTTTTTGTCAAATGCCACCTTCTCCCCCCCTCCTCCCCCCACACACAATCAGGCATACAGTCACATTATTCACAGGGCAATGCAATATTTAAGCATTTCTAGTTTATGAATATCCTACTCATGTTACATAAGTTGCTAAATATAATTCCAATAAATCATTCAATCATATCCCTAACATCCATATTTCAAACTACTTCTGTTTATTTTGGTCAAAATCAAAATTCTTTCCTAATTATATGCAAATTTGTTAATTAAAAACGAACTTCACAGAGGTTGAACAAACCTGCCCAAAGCCAGATTTTTGATTCAACTCTCCCCATTCCAGGTTCAAAGAAAATATGTCTTTCTGGGATCTAAGATAGCAAAATCTGCTGCCCACTAAAGTTTGCTCTCCTCTTTGCCACCAATAGTTGTCATTGTTTCCCAGAATTACATCATTGGCATTTTCTTGTCACTTTCTACCCTCTGCCTAGAGCTCCTACATGTATAACAGTTTCCACCACCATCTTTACGCTGATGCTTCCAAAATCTTCACAATCAACTCTCATCTCTATCTTGAGATCCACATACCTATTTCTAACCAATTCATTGATGACTTCAATTTTAAATTGAACATTCATCCCTGCCTCTCAAATCAGCTCTTCTTTCTTCCTATAAGCCATATGGTACCAGTACCTTCCCAGTCAGCCAACCCAAGAGTCACCCTACCTTCCCAGTTAGCACAGTTTAATTTATCTCCTTATTTCCTATATCTCTCTGCACCCTCTACCAGTCATACAAAGACATTTACTTAGTATCTGGCTCATTACTTACAAAAACAATAGATGAGACTTTCATTTCGGAGTTTGCACTAGTGTGCACAAAAACCACAAGGTTTCTAAGTAATTTATTTTGTCAGCATTTAAACTCATTGAAAAATTATTTCCTATAAACTAATAAATATAAAATACTTACTTAAATGGTGTAAACAAAAATGGTAAAGTAACTTCTTTTTTCTGAGTCATTTTTACCTGGGAACCAAATATAAAAATATTTTATTTTATTATAAATGAGAAAAAAATCAACTAATTTCATTTTGAAATATAAACATCTATTAAAATGAGTCTTCAGGGATTGTTAACTACTTTGAAGATAAATGGAATTTTGTGTTACTATATTATTTAATAAATATTTAAAGAAAAATTTAACATTATCATTCTATCATAATAGACTGAGAATTAAGAATATCAAGTGTGCAAAAGAACATTCAGTAATGTATTCTACTTGAACTCTTAGAAAACAATAAGGCAAGCTGCACTATTTTAAGAATAACAGAAAGTTTCAATTAAATGGTGACCTCTTTAAGTTCTTAATGCATTTAATAATGTACACGAATGACTAGAAATATTATAATCACTAATGCTACCTCTCTAGGGGAAAATTACAATTAATAAAGACTTGGTTTGTAGTTTTCTAAGCATATATGATAGTCTTACAATTAGAAAACCCTTAAAGATAGTTCTACACTCTCACAATCATTCATGGATGCTGCACCTCAGAAATGTGCAACTCGGATGCTAGACAAATACACAAAATTTAAAGATAATAACTTATAGACAATCATTTCTTAAAATACAATTCATATATCTTTAGTTAATATATTCAATTTAGAAATTGTAGCAGTGTCCATTTTTTGTGTGTCTAATTTTACCTTGAACTGTTCAAGAATCTGTTTTGCATTTGTATACATGCTCTCTGCTTTGAAGACATCAGTGTTGTTAAGATAATTCACAGGAAGGATTCCCTATAAATAATAAATACTGGGTTTAATATTAGTATTAACAAAGCTCAGGCAATTCTTATAAAACAAAATAGATTTACAAAGGAAGCAATGAAGCCAAGGCATATGGACAAATAAATTACTGGAATAATAAAACAAAAAAAAATCTTACTTTAAACCATAACTGAAACATGTTCTATTATTTTCATTGCAAAGTAAATATAATAAAGCAAAAGAGACGAATTAAATAAGTTCAAAAAAACCTAACATTACCCCTTTAATGAAAAAATTACCATGTGGTAGGCAGTGAATTAAGTGCTTTGCACATGCAAAATATCCCTATAGTGGGCCACCATTAATATACTTAAAAAGAAAATAAAGACATAGTAAGAAGTATGAGAGTATATTGTGCATATAAGGGTAAGGATTATTTTTATGTAAGTGAAACTTTTGTTTCACTTACATAAAAATACACACACACACACACACACACACACACACACTACAATAGAACTCACATTACTCAGCATTCTAAATTAGATTTGTTGTTTATTTTTTGGCTTTTCAGGATCCACTTCCCACTCTTAGCAGGATTACCATTCTATGTGGAGAGATCTCCCCCACTGCATACAGTGTAATGGGTTTCCAGTGGGGCTCTGCCTCTCCCACTGAAGGATAGACTCCAGGCTAGATGACTCAAATAGTAAGTACAGAAATTTGACTCAAAGGTCAAGGAACAAAAAGTATGACAGGGGTAATACTCCTCTATCCCAGTATAGACTCTGGTTTGGTTCTTTCTTCTAATTCTCCAGAGCTTTCTTGGTTCCTAGTCATTTCCGAACCTGGTCTTTGAATATCCCTTTGAATCAACAAACCACTAATATATTTTAAATACATTTCCTTTAAATGGATTCAGTTTCTGTTACTTGCAAACAAAAAATATTTATCTGTTTTCATCATTTAAAACTAAATTACAAATATGGCCCTGGCCGGGTATCTCAGTTGGCTAAAGCATCATCCCAATATGCCAAGGTTGTAGGTCCGATCCCCAGTCAGGGCACATACAGAAATCAACCAATGAATGTATAAATAAGTGGAACAACAAGCCAATGTGTTTTTCTCTTTCTCTTGCAAATCAATAAATAAAATATTTTTTTTAACTCTAAATTACAAATATAAGTTTATATACATTTTAAGAAAATAAAAATTATAAGATAAGTTATTAGGCTTATACTCCATGTTGTAGTATAATACATACACACGTAAAAGATATTACATATTTATAAAGAAATAGGAAAATAGAGTTTAAATGTAATCAAAGATTATTCAGAAACATATAGAAAGTAAATTTTACTGTACAATATATTTTTTAATTCTGAGAGTTGTTAAGAAAATTTTGTCCCTTACCACTGAATTGAGGGGAAAAGGAACTCCAATAAGAGAAGCCATTAATGGTGCAATATCAGCCTGCAAACAGAAAAAGTTTAATTTTAAGAAGTCTACAGATATCAATAAGAAAAATAATTTAAGGCAACTATTCTGTAATATAATCTGCATGTTTGTTATAATCTATTATCTTCAAACATTTATTTACTACATAGTAGATATTTATCTCTAAAAATGACATTTGTTAGAAGTACATGACTTCATGAAAAAATAAATTAGAAAAAAAAAAAACATTAAAAGCTCCAAATGTGAAACATATTAATAAGCAAAAAGTTACTTATCTTAATAACTAGAAATTGACCACGTTATATAATAGGTTTTCAGTATTATGAAAGGCTGCCTTAACTAGACAAAAAAATAAATAGCAATATGAATTAAAGAAGGAATGTAACAGAAGGTTTGGCCAACCAAAAGTAAAACAAACCTCTTAAAAATAAGAGGTTCTTTAGACACCCCTTCCTCCCCCCCAAAAAAAAACCAAAAAAACAAAAACACACACACAAGTTTTGGATAGCTCCTTTCAAGTGTGTCCCAGAAATTGTTCATGCTTTGTCTCCATCTAATCTCCCCATCACTCCTAACTTGGCCTTTTATCATTCCATAGACAACTCTCCCTAAAAGAGCTAGTAACCTCCATTTTTTTCCAAATCTTATTGCCTGTTTTATTATTAGTCCTTATAATTTTTTAGGCAGTAAAGTGCTTAGGTGTCAGAATGCCCAATTTCAAATCCTTGCTTGTAAATTCTGAGACTGTGGGCAGGTCATTTAACCTCTCTGATGCTTGTTATCAGTTAAAAAATAAATGAAAGTTTCTCCCTTACAGAGTTGCAGCATGGTTTAATGAGATTAAATTTATGAAGTATCTGGCATAAAATAATCCTGCAGTAATAACTGGTGGCTACAAACGCTGTGGTAATTATTATAATTAACAGACCTCTCAGCAGCACTGCGTAGACCACTGGGTTCTTGGCCTCTGTATCACACTCAGCTGAGTATCGTCCATCTCACCATAGCTTATTTCTCTAGTCCCCCATCTAAAGTAGGAGTTTGATCCCAAGTTCTCAATCCTTCTCACTTTCACCACCTGGACTCTCTTTACTAAGTACCACCTCATGTAAAACAGAAAAACTCCAATGGCCTTCCAATCGCCTTCTCCCCTTCCCTGGGAATTCACCAAAAGCCTCCTCTCATCTGTTTTCCATGCTGCAGCCCGAGAAATCCTCACAAAGAAGCAGATCATGTCACTCTCCAGGATTCAAACACTTCCTACATAGACTTTCTCAAACCACAAAAAGCAAAGGCGTGGATACGGGTGGACTACTGTTCAGCAGTTCTATATCATGGCTTCACGGGCCTCTTTTGTAGTATTTACCACGGCTATAATTTTACACTTATTGGTATAATAATTAGAGTAGTATCTGCTTTTACTTACCATATCCCTAACACATTGTTTAATGATTACGTTTGTACCATGTTTAAACAATACTCCAGACACATAACAATGTTGATGAAAGAAATGAATAGAGAAATTCTCATCTAATATAGACTCGAAGTAGGATTACTAAGAGCAATAGTTGAACCCATATTCAGTTTTTTTTATTATTATAACCCAGCCTGGCTAGAAGAAAAACATGTTCTTGTTCTATGGTCTTCAAGTTATCCTATCCCTTTGACAGTTATTTTTATTGCAAATAAATAAACTGCTATTATGATTATAAACATTTTCATTTATTTGGACAATACATGTCCATCTGGAGAGAAGAGAGCATTCTTAACATGTTGAAGAAAAATAGGCTTCTGCAGCCACAGGCCTGAAAAGGAGATCCTAAACATTGGTTTATCCACCACAGTAAGGAATGTCAGCTTGAGAGCTGACCTGGAGAAGGTCAAATCTTCCTGCCACTTTGGAGGCCATGTATCAGTGATGCATGCTTTCTATAAATAGCAAAGATGGCTATGTACATAGCATATATTCAACAATGAAAATTCTGTACTTCCCATTTACAGATTATGTTACTAATCTAAAATATGTGTTAATAAAAAAGAAATAGTAACTGGCTTACTACTGGAAAGAAACCTATGATGAGGTTTTATTAGATCTATGTTCAAGGCAACTAAATGAGGCAACCATGAAAAGAAATAATAGAAATTTAACAGGTATGCAAATTTCAAATTTACATATAATTCTTTAATTAGCCAGTGTAACTTGGAGGGAATCTTCTTCTTTTAGTTTTACTTGAGGCTTTTTATATTTTGTCAAGAGAAAGATTAGTTGGGTTAAAATATTTGCACCGAAAGGATTTTCCTTGGTAATTAAAATGTTTTAAAAGATCATTTATTATCATTATTATTAATACATGGTTTTTCAGGGGCTTTTTTTTGGTCTAATCTTCTTACAGAAGATACAGTAAATTAGAACATGATTAAGTTGAAATGAATACCTGATTGATATCTTGCCTCTTCCAGTACTCCAATTTCCATCCTGAAAGACAGACACCATTAGACACAAAAGCTGATGTTAAGATGAAAAAAAGAATGGATCATTTCATTATTATGAGTAATCAATGCTTGATGAAAAACAAAAGTATTACAAAAGTCTATTTGAAGGCAGCATGAACCAAAAGGATGCTTAAAAAGGCAGAACTGTATATTTTTAAAATGAGAATTAAAAAAAAAAACCTGAAAAGTTAACATTTGGTATTTCTCATAATAATTTATTAAACTTCATATGGAGATAACTGTTTCAAAATTTCAAAAGGCTAAGGAAGGAATGATGGAACTAAGAGGCACAATTATAACAATTGTTAGCATGCCTACAACAAATTACAATCCTGTTCCAGAAGTTTATTAAGGCATTGGTAGTCTGTTAGTTAATGTAAGTTTTCCTTTTATTTTTTTTTTCCGTAATAGCAGTTGCTTGCAAAATACTTAAAATTGTAGCTATGATGTACAATTAATCCCAAATTTTAAAATAGTATAAGTTACTATTAAAACTGCCTTCAAAGATAACCTCATTCCTCTATCTTTCTATGTGTAAATTCAGAAATTTCAATATGCAGTAACCAAAATGATTGAGACTATGTCTTAATGGCATTATGATATACATATTACCAAAAGGGTTCTAATATATTTTTATGATGAAATTTCCTTTAATAAGCTAATAAAGTTTAAAATATGTTTCTTCTTCTACTAGTCAGCTACTAAAACTTCATATTAATCACTTGATAAAGAAAAAAGAATATTCACTGTCTCTGTAACTTATGATACTACATTTTTTCTGTAATGCTTTTTGAAGCCATGTGAGTCTAATACATCAATTCACTAAGAAATCAAATGCCAAAGTACAGTTATATCTCCTAAATACAAACATACTATTTAACTTAGCTTCTATTTAAACTCAATCTAATCCAGTTACCACAGAGCACAGGATATAAAATAACACAACTGCATTGAAAAACGGTTTGGCATTCTGTAAATAATTAAACGTAGAGTTTCATATGACCCATTTATTCAATTTCTATATATTCAGCAACAAGCAATTAAAACACAAAAACTTTCACACAAATCTTTATGGCAGCATTATCACAAAAGTAAAAAATGTGAAAACAACCTAAATGTCTGGAAGATGACTATGTAAAAAAAATATGATATATGCAGCAATAGAATATTTTTCAGCTATACAAAATATACTACTAATACATGTTATAACATAGATGAACCTTGAAAACATTATGCCATGTGGAAGAAGCCAGGTGCAAAAAACTATATAGTGAATGATTCCGTTTATATGAAATGTCCAGAATAGGTAAATCCATAGACACAAAGTAGATCAATGGTTGCCAGGTGATGGAGAAGAGAGAGAAAGAAGGAGTGACAGCTAATGGGGTTTGCTTGGGGGAAAGTTTATGAAATATTTTGTAATTAGATAGTAGAGGTGATTGCATAATCTTATTAATATACTCAAAAGAGTGAATTGTACAATTTTAAAATGTGAATTTATGGTATGAGAATGATATCTCAATAAAAAGTAAATTTAAAAAAAAAAAAGCAACTAAGGAAATTTAATATACAAATAAAAAAGAGTTTTCCATGGTAAAAATAGCTGAACATAGCTTGAGTCTGACTCCCTGGAGAAGATTTTAAAAGCAAAACTTCTAGATCTCACTCAGTTTCATGGAAGCAAAATATCTACTTACAAGGTCTGGAAATCTATTTTTTTTTAAAATCTATATATTTCAACAAAATACAGCTTTGGATGAGTTGATACAACAAATCCAGAGTAAGACATTTGAGAGGAAGTTGTTTTGTCCAATTAGTAAGAACTTTGGAACTCTGAATAAAACCTTACCTGACAAAATAAGCAGAGCTCCAGGAAAAAGGCATTCCTTTTCTTCATGGCTTGAGAAGCAAGGGAGGCTTGAGTAACACAGAGGGATTTCAAAAGTACTAGAGACAAGGTACTGTTTCACAACAGTACCAGTTGTGAAAGATCAATTATGACTTGTTATTTATCTGACTGACAGTCTTTACAGATTAGATTTGACTCAAGGTTTAATCTATATGCCAGTATAATAAGGCATGTGGGGAAAACGGCAATAGTATAATTTGTGCTTAAACTCTCATAAGGCAAATGAGACTGTGTATTTCAAGCTGAATATTGTAAACCATATAATATGAACATATATAAGTAGTACATAAAAATAGCACAAGATAAAAAAGAAAACTATAACTTGAAAGTGATTTTAAAAAATTACACTTTGGTTTTATTTTAAAATGTTCTATTTATAAAAGCAATAAAGATACATTTTTATACCTTTCAAAAGCTCATCATTAAACTGTTGATCTGATGCTTTTTGGGGATACTTGATTCCAGCTCCCCAAGCAACGAAAGGAGTAAAGGTCTCTGAATGGTGACCAGCCCCATGGAAACCTACAACGAGGACATAAGACCAGCATATATGAACTAACTTATACCTAAATATTTATTTTTAACTACTTAAAATTAATCCATCTATAGTTAATTTTAGTCACCACACTCCCAAACTAACTCTGTATAACAATTAGTTTAAAAATATTACCAAAGCAAGTCAGAGCATCAATAACAAAAAGACATAAACAAATGAGCAAACAAAAAAGGGCAGAATGCCTGTTGAGTGTGCTGGTTGAAAGAAGAGTATAACAGTAAAGCTTGGAGGAGATGCCTCTCGAGTGGCTCCGAAGGCAGAACAAGGAAAGCTCTGCCTTTGGGGAGTAACGAGCCAGGTTTGGGGCAAGTAGCTGAGTCCAGAGCTGTTCTCAAGAGCAGGGCAAAGTCTCTAGATATTTTTCTTCCAGGCGACTCTGGCTGGTGCAGCCAAAACCCCTTCATAAAGTGGAACCAGCTTGCTAGAAGTCCCTATTGTGATTTGGGGACCTGAACATCCATTGCCTCATTTTGTTCTCTGTGCACACACTGTGTTCGCCTTGGGAATCTTACAGGGAGGACAGGTTCATGTAGAGTGATTTTCAGTAGTCCAAAGTCCCTCGGTAGTACCACCTTAACCTTGCCACCTATGCTATCATGTACAGAGTACTTTTTGTTTTCTCCTCCCTTCTTTTCTCTAATTTCTCATTTTGAGAATATATTACTTCTATAGGTAGAAGATTCATTATATAAGATCAGAACTTTTTACACTTACACTTCAAGCATACATTTATATCCTAGACACTTTGCACACATTAAGACATAATGTCCTCAACATTATATCTGCAAGCTCCATTTACCACTACCTCAATCATCTATACTAATAAAAGGGTAATGTGCAAATTAGACTGGTTGACCGGCCATCTTCCAGATGTCTGACTTCCTTCCAGACAAAGCCATGGTGGTGGGAGCTGAGGCAGAAGCAGTTAGGGGAGGTCAGGCCAGCAAGGGAGGGCAGTTGGGGGCAACCAGGCCAGCAGGGGAAGGAAGTTGGGGGTGAGATCAAGCTGGCAGGGGAGAGCAGTTGGGGTAATCAGGCAGGCTGGCAGAGGCAGGTAGGGGCGTCAGGCAGGCAGGCAGAGAGGTTAGTTGTGATCACTCTGGCAGGGGGGGCAAGGTAGGGCCTGCAGACCAACGGGTTCTGGGTTCGATTCCAGGCCATCAGGGGGGATCAGGCTGGCAGACAGAGGGGTTAGTCGTGATTAGGCAGGCAGGCAAGTGGTTAGGAGCCAGTCATCCCAGATTGTGAGAGGGTGCAGGCTGGACTGAGGAATCACCCTCTGTGCACGAATTTTTTGCACCGGGCCTCTAGTAGAATATAAGTCAATTAAAGACAGACTAACCCCAGTCTGTCATTCCATGGTCAGAGGTAAAGACAAATGCCGTTTTCTCATCATTTCCATAAAACTCTTTAAGCAGGGACACAATTTCTTTAATTCCCTTGTCAACTAGTTTAATATTGTCCTTATATTCCCTGTTTAAAAAAACACAAAAGAAGAAATTAAATTAATTTGGAAAAATCAAATTTATTTAACATGAATTCATCACATTCAAAGTAAGTAACTCCTAAAATACTTTAATCTTTAACAGTTTAAAATCAGAACACTTCAGATTGTTAAAAATAATGTTTTTTTTTCTGTTTAAGAAGCAAAAGAATATGAAATACTGTCAAAAATTATTTAAGAGGAGAGTACTGATTAGCAAATACATTGCAATGAATGTTTTTTAAGTTTCAAATTCAATAATGCTTTTCAAGTTCATGTCTCTCATAATGCAAACTATATTGTCCTTGTGACAATAGGTAAGCATAACTGCTTCAAATGTAGTATTTTTTTCCTTTCCTAGTCTGTGATATAAAATGTTATAATATATTGTAAAATTATATCATACCATATCAAATATGTTTTGAACAAATTATACATAAGCTTTCATACATGTACACTTAAAAATAGGTAGACTGGCAAGGCTGGTTTGGTATGAACTATTAGTTAAAACAGTGTAGATGTGAAAAAAGGGGATCAATGAGGTATTCATTATGGACAGCTAACCAATAGGCTTTACAGTTAGACTAATCGAAACCAAATTTGAAATAAAGCATAAAAATATAACATGGAGCCTGGCTGGTTTGGTTCAGTGGATAAAATGTTGGCCTGCGGACCAACGGGTTCTGGGTTCGATTCCAGTCAGGGGCACATGCCCGGGGTTGCAGGCTCAATCCCTAGGAGGGGGTGTGCAGGAGGCAGCCAATCAATGATTGTCTGTCATCATTGATGTTTCTATCTCTTTCCCTCTCCCTTCCTCTCTGAAATAAATAAGAATATATTTAAAAAAAATAATAACATTGCCAAACTGGTTTGGCTCAATGGATAGAGCGTCGGCTTGGGGACTGAAGGGTCCCGGGTTCGATTCTGGTTAAGGGCATGTACCTTGGTTGCGGGCATATCCCCAGTAGGGGGTGTGCAAGAGGCAGCTGATCGATGACTCTCTCTCATCGATGTTTCTAACTCTCTATCTCTCTCCCTTCCTATCTGTACAAAATCAATAAAATATATTAAAAAAAATAATAACAACATGGATTCTTCCATTTTCTTATGGTCTTCAAAAGTAGTGAAAAAAAAATTGCTGGTCTAGTTAAGGAGTGCTACTGAAATATAGTATATAAAACTTTATACAATTATTTGCTATCTATAATACTGATTAAATGGAGTATGTAAGGAATAGCTAATTACATCTTTTTGTGATACATTAACACCATAAAAATGCTTTGATTTCAGCTGAAACCGGTTTAGCTCAGTGGTAGAGCATCGGTCTGCGGACTGAAAGGTCCCAGGTTCAATTCCAGTCAAGGGCATGTACGTTGGTTGCGGGCACATCCCCGGTAGGGGGTGTGCAAGAGGCAGCTGGTCGACGTTTCTAGCTCTTTATCTCTTTCCCTTCCTCTCTGTAAAAAAATAAATAAATAAAAATGCTTTGATTTCAATATTTACTGAATTTCTAAAATACATATTTTTTTTCTCTGCCTTGAAACATGAAGAATGCAGGATATATTTTATTTATATTAATGTGCAGTCTGGCACAGCACATGTGATTTTAGCTTCTATAGTATATCAATCTATAGCTCATATAGTTGAGGACTTACTCTATGTTAGAGTTATTTAAAATATATCTTTTGTGATAATCACAAATATATATAAAAGTTCAAACAAAATGGTTGTTATCCACAAAAACAAGAAATTAAACACAGCATTAAAATTACCTTGATGTGGGTCGATGAGCATGTCCATTTGTATCTATTCCTAATAGATGTAAGAAAAAAACTACTTTATCTTCATTTAGTTTAGAAAACAAAGATTGGTTGTTTCTGGCAGCATGAAAGAATTCCTATATGTAACAAATCAGTTAAAAATTTTAGTTCATTTATTTTATTTATAAAATAATTCTGATAAGAACATTTAATTAAATTTATACATAATTATAAAATTATCTTATTTTGTTTAAATTTGTCCTCAAGCCTACCACTACAAGATCTTTGCTGTCATTTGAGACATCTATGTTCAAATAGGAAACAAGCTATTTTTTTGTAGCCAAGAAAAAAAGGTTATAGAAAGGAGATGTGATTTCATAAAAATCTCATAATACTGAATAAAACTGGGTAGCTCAGTTGGTTGGAGTGTCACCCCAATATGCCAAGGTTGCGGGTTTGATCCCAATCAGAACACATACAAGAAGCAACCAATGAATGTATAAATAAGTGGAACAACAAATTGATGTCTCTCTCTCTCTCTCTCTCTCTCTCTCAAATCAATAAATAAAAAAATATAAAGAAGATTGAAGAAATATTTTGACAAGAACCAAAAATAAAACTGTACTAGTGGCTTTAAGGGAACACAGAAAAAGGTTATCATGTAAATGGAATGGAAAGTGAGGTGAAGCAAAGAGAAGTCAGGGAAAATTAATAGAGGAGATGATGTATTAAACTGAGTTTTAAAACACAAAAAGATTCAATGTGGATGAACTTAATTCCTGTGAAGTAAATATAAAGACAAATGTAAACACATATTTAAAAGTATATTTATAAACAAATGAACAAAAATAACTACATATGGAGAAGTACACCATGTCAGTTCAAAAGATATCACTTGTAAAAAGAAGAAGCATTAGGGATCAATGAATGAAAGCTTCATACAACAGATAAATTATAATTTGAAGATGAGAAACAATGGATTGATCGAAAGGAGAGAGCTAATAGTCACCATTTCCCACAATTTTTGATGAATTTTAATTGAACTCCTGGTGAAACTGTGATAATTGTCCCTATCAGAGTGTCAAAAAAATTCTTATTTCTTACAAAAACGCATAAATATTTTATTATGATTAATTTGCTAATTTGGTTTTACTTATCTAATTTTCCTTTAAAGTAAATTTTAAGTAAAATTAAAAAAAAAAAACACATCTACTTCATCTATAATAATAAAAGGATAATATGCTAATTAGACCAGTCCAGACGAAGCTGGGGCCAGAGGAAAGCTTCCTAGGTCCCAGGTGCCTGGTGGTGGCTGGAGGGAAGCCGCTTGGGTCCTGGGTGCCTGCTGGCAGCCAGAGGAGGGAAGCTCGGGTCCCAGGTGCCTGCAGGCAGCCAGAGGGAAGCCCAGGTCCTGGGTGATGGAGGGAAGCCGGTGTCGGCAGCTGGGGAAAGGAAGGCCTATCTTGCACAAATTTTCATGCATCAGGCCTCTAATGTTATTATAATTGCACTAGAGGTCCAGTGCACGAATTCATGCATGGGTGGGGTCTGGCAGGCCTGGCCTCAATTGGAGCAGATCAGGGCTGGGCTTCTCAGGAGGAGACAGCAGGATGTTGATCAGCCAGCCTGCCCCGATTGGGGCCTGATCAGGGCTGGGCTGGCTTGGGGAGGGGCTGCAGGAGGTTGGCCAGCCAGCTCCACCCTTATTGGGGTGGGGGATGCAATCAGGGTTGGCCAGCCAGGGGGAGGGGCTGTGGGGCGATCAAAGTGTTGGGGGCCCATCGGGTGTGGGACTGCCAGTGGGGAGGGACTGCAGGAGGTTGGCCAATCAGCTCCACTCCCCATTGGGGAGGGGTGGTGATCAAGGGGCAGGACTGGTCGGGGATTAGGGCTGCGGGCCAATTAGGGAGGAGTTACGGGAGGTTGGCTGTCTGGCCCTGCCCCCTGATCAGGCCAGTTCGCTGGCCACAGTGGGTATTCATATCAACCAGTCATCAGTCATTCTGGTCATTATGGACCCTGAGAGAGATTACATTTAAACAGCATTTTTCAAGAAACTTCCACACAGCTCATAGGCTGCCACATTGTAAGAAACTGGTAAAGGTTTACACCTCAGATAATTCAGCAGACGAGGAATAAAGCAGACAGGTTAACTGAATTCCAATGTAGGGCTCATTTTACTATCTGAAGCATGTAGATTAGAAAGGTTATCTTTTTAAAATTATGTTTAAACTACTATTAACTGGTTATTGTAGAATGTTAATTTCTTAAAATCCAGTCTTTTAAAAATAGTGTGCTATAGTATAAGACTTTTACGTTCATATAAATAAAAGATGTCTCTACTGACAAATCTGTTTCTAGTAGTTTAAGTAGAAATAGGTGTCCTGTCAATAGCACGCACTTTAATGTTATCAAAGACCCACGTATCCAGTTTTGTTGCATCCTTGGCACCAAAATCCTCAATGTCAGCATCATAACAATATGTAAAAACATGGTTTCCTGAAGCATCTGAAAAGGAAATTGGGAGAAAAAATTTTTAAGCAATCTTTCAAACTGTTAGAAATATGAAGTAGTCATTTAAAGATTTTTGTGAGTAACCAAAAATTTTTACAAGGCATTTTAGATTATGATGGGAAAGAGAAAGATGGGAGGAATAGTTAATGTTTATTTTATATACTATTGACCATACTTTGTCCTTTAATAATGCTGTTACTTGGTTCTCACAAGATATTCCAATTTTACATATACAATACATGTAAGTTAACTTATTTGCCAAAGAGACAACACTAATACACAAAAATAAACATCAAAGTTTGTCTCCCTATGGGATTACATTATTAAAAAATTGTTTTGGTTAGAATGTTATAATTTAAAATAGATGAATTCACTTAGTTTACAAAACTACCGAAAGCAAGAAGAAAATGCAAATAGTCACTTCTCTTATTTAAAGATTATATGTAAATTTCTCAATATTGGGGAATAGATATTGCTTATTGCCAAATAGTTTGACGGGGTAAGCAAATATATTAATCTTATACATTTGCAATATTTTATAAAGAATCCAATCAACTTAGTGAGTTTCAGAGTTAGATAGGCTCTTATAGATTAGAAGGAAGAGATAAAACGAAGTAATAAAAATCTCTTACAATGTCAGTTTAGTCCTATTGACACTAGTTATTCTACTGCTCAGCCATTCTAATTCCCACATTCTAAGTAAAGATCTGAGTTGGTTTGTTGGTTACTATAAGAAAAGGAAAATTCCCATTGGACTGTCTCCAATTCAGGCATTGACCCTATCCTATCAATTGTGGCCAGAAGTAGAAGGTAAGTTAAATATGCCACCTGTCCTCCCCAAAGCTAAACTGCTGTTTAAACAAGTGACTATAAAAATGGCATGCAGTTTGAGGTTTTTTGGCCTGTCTTACATAATAACATTCTATGAATGACATACATAAAATTCTGAATATGTGTTTTGCTTTTAAGACATAATAATCTTAAATTATTTCATCTAATATAATTACACCCGTGACTAAGTATAATGTTACAAAACTTTTTCATTAAGTGAAATGACCATTCTGCTCCCACTAAAAGGCATTAAATGACATAAAGTTGAAAAAAAATCCAGTGATTTTTAGAAAGCAATATAAATTTTATAACCAAAGATGTTCTAATACTTGAGATTCATACACAGAAAACAGAAACTAATTCAAATGGCAAGATCTTGAATATATGAAAATAGGAATCATAAACATAAATTTTAATGTTTAAATCTTTATGTGACTATCAATTTCTTTTTTTTTTTAAATATATTTTATTGATTTTGTATAGAGAGGAAGGGAGAGAGGTAGAGAGTTAGAAACATCGATGGAGAGAGTCATCGATTAGCTGGGGATGTGCCCGCAACCAAGGTACATGCCCTTGACCGGAATCGAACCCAGGACCTTTCAGTCCCCAAGCCGATACTCTATCCACTGAGCCAAACCGATCTCAGCGTGACTATCAATTTCTTTAAAAAAATTTTTTTTTACCAATTTCTTAATAATTCATCAATGTAAAATGAACCAGACATCAGCATTAGCATCATGAGGAGTTATATGATAAGCACTTTGCTAAAGGTTTCACATGAATTATATCTAATTTAATCCTAAAAACAAACTTATGACATAAAATCATCATATTTACAAAAATCATACTGAAGTTCAGAGAAGTTATCTAACTTGTCCAAGATTATAAAGTTATTGAATGTTAGAGCCATATGTCATTCCATTGAATTCAAGAGTATATAAATGGCTAACGGTTAGAGGTTTCTTGTACTTCAATTAAGAAGGAAAAAAAAATCAAATTGACATGTTTGCCCATTGCAACATGCATCCCTATTTCAGAATTATTAAATATGTTAAAACATGTATCTCAAAATCAATAAAATATTGTATCTAACAACTACTAAAGTTATTAACCTATTTACTACCTGAGAAAATATAAATCTCTTACCTTTGGCAAACATATTCAAGATATCTGGACTTCCCCAGCTCCATGTGTACTTGCTTTGATTGAAAAGAGAATCAAATTCCACAGGGTTTTCCTTCCATCCTTCAGGTAATTGAGAGAAAAAGCAAATAATACCAAAACAATGGTATACACATGGTGAGGTATTAGTATAACCTCTAAAGAACTATTCTTTATATAATAACAATGAGAATTAATCGCACAACAAATGCAAAAGTAATAATAGATTTTGTTACATGTATCATGCCATAAATTTCTTAAAGCTTACAATAGATAATTTACTTCTTAATAAAAAATTATTTTGAACTTTTGGGAGTTAACTTCTAGGAAAATTATAGATCTATCCAATCACATTATTTTAACAGCACAGGATGATATAATACTAAAGCTTAATTCTTGATTCAATACCAGTATGTGCTTAGCTAAGGCCTACTAAAATATGTCAAAAGTATCTCAAAACATCCTGCACCTTGTGTCATGCTTCTTTAGTGTAGTACTAAAGAAGCAATATTTACAAAATAAATTTTTCAAAGGATGAAATTGTCTAAATAGACAATACCTTTGGCAACTGCACTAACATCTTCATAAAACCCAGCTATCAGGGCTACATGACCCGGCCGAGATTCAGTTGGCACGCGGGTATGCGATATCCCCCAGCTGCCTTCGTGCATTATGATATTCCTAAAAGATATTACAGATGAATAGTTAACATAGACATAATTAAATGCTCTCTTAAGGCTCTGAAAAAATAATATTATTACAGAAGGAGTCAAACCCAAAAAAGTGAGTCAAATTTTATGAAGAAAAAAACCCTAATCCCAGCTAAGCCCAGTCCTAGCCCTCCCACCAGTGGATTCTGTAGCATAAGTGAGCCCAGGTACAAGAACAAAGACCCACCCAACCACTGTATAGAATCATAAGACAAAATACACCAGTGTTGTTTTAAGCCATAAACTATTGAATTTAAAAAAAATTTTTTTATTAATAAATAACTTATATATACACAATAATATTCTCTCAATGTTAAATTTTATTAGGTGTGATGATGGTATTGTGGTTATGTAGAAGAAAGTCCTTGTTCTTAAAACATACATATTGAAGTATTTAGGGATGAAGCATCATAGTATCTTTTCACAAATTTTTATTCTTTTTAAAATTATTCAATTACAGCTGACATTTGGTATTATTTTATGTTAGCTTCAGATGTAATGGTTAGAAATTTATATAATCTACTAAATAACCCACCTGATAAGTCTAGTACCCACCTGGCACCATACATAGTTATTACAACACTATTGACTATATTTTTAAGTTCTTTAATTATATAACAAAAATTGACTTAAACAGAAAGAGGAAGGCATAAAGAAATTTGGATACCTCTATTTAAAAACATTTCAATCAATTCAGATCATATTTTTTCCAGAGAAGTCTTTGTTCCAGTTGACATGCTTACCTAATAAATGGTGCTCTAGAATTTCCCTTTTCATCCAATTCATAAAGTGCATCTGCCCGCAGCCCATCAGCAACAATGAGCACTAGTCTCCTTGCTGGAGGAGGCAATGGCGTAAACTGAGGAGCCATCCCATGAACCAAAGGAGATGTAAAGTAAATGTCAAAGATGGAGGCGAAGAACACAAAATGAACGAGCAATCCCACAATAAAGAAGAGCAGCATAGCCAGTGTAACTAATTAATCTTCAAGAAAAGCTGAAAGAGGAATGAAATTAAATCTGGGTAAACCTTAATGGAATTACATATTTTCACATATCTTCATGACAACATATAGATGGAACATATATCTTAAAATATTACATAATTCAACTTGATTTTTGGTGGTTAACAAACATTTTTTAATAAAGAGATGATACTGAAGTAAAATACATGATAAAGTACACTCAAGCAAAAATAAAAGATTCAAGTAGAATAAGGGAGGGCAGTTGGGGGCAATCAAGCCTGCAGGGGAGGGCAGTTGGGGGAAAGCCAGGCCTGCAGGGGAGGGCAGTTAGGGGCGATCAGGCAGCAGGCAGAGGCAGTTAGGAGCTATCAGGCAGGCAGGGGGTGAGCAGTTAGGAACCAGCGGTCCCACATTGCAAGAGGGATGTCCCACAGGGATCGGGCGTAAACTGGCAGTTGGACATCCCCCAAGGGGTTCCCCATTGGAGAGGGTGCAGGCTGGGCTGAGGAAACCACTTGCTCCGTGCATGAATTTCATGCATCAGGCCACTAGTTCAATCAATAAAAATGTTCTGTGCACATATTATGTGCATAACTGTGTGCAAGGATATTACAGAGAACACCAAGAAGACACAGTCACAGATCTGATATTAAATAATGTGCATGAAACATTTAAATAATACTGTTAAGATAGTATGCCAGTAACTGCCAAAAGCAAAGTATCCATGATGGCTGTTTCAAGGCAGCATTTTCCCTAGTTGATTGAGACTACTTCTAGGAGTATTCTCTGTTTAGCTCAAATCAATTTTTATAAAAATTCTCTATAGGTTTGTATGCTCTTACATTGACAGTTCATAATGAAATACTATGGAGAATTGAAATGAAATAAGTCACATTTATGATAAGGGTACATCTCACAAATATAGGCTTAATAAAAAAAATTTTTTTTTAAGGCTCTGACTGCTCCTTTCTTCCTAATATCACCAAACTTCTTGAAAATATTGAATACAACCTCTTTTTATCCAATCATCTAATTCTCAAACAACTTAAATTGAGAAAGATTTCTCTAAGGTAGTGAATATTGCAAAATCCAATGGCTGTTTTTTTCAGTTGTCTTTCATGGCTTACCCATTCCATTTGTCTTTATTAGCTATGCCTTTTTTTTTTTTTTTTTAAAGCTCTCATTTCTTGTCTTCTTTGAACATTACTTCTTTGGTTTTCCTGCTATATCTCTGACCAGTGTAGAATGGGCTCTATCTGGTCAGTGAATTTTGGAGTTACTCAAAAGTTGATTGTAGGCCCTTTTCTCTCCTCACTCTATACTTTATGTTTTGTTTTTTAATATATTTTATTGATTTTTTACAGAGAGGAAGAGAGAGAGATAGAGAGTTAGAAACATCGATGAGAAAGAATCATCTATCAACTGCCTCCTGAACACCCACTACTGGGGATGTGCCCGCAACCAAGGTACATGCCCTTGACCGGAATTGAATCCGGGATCTTTCAGTCCACAGGCCGACGCTCTATCCACTGAGCCAAACCGGTTTCGGCTATACTTTATGTTTAGGCATTTTTCATCATATCTTGGCTTCAGTTATCAACTATATACAAAAGTCTTAACAAATTATAACTCCAAATCCATATATGTAACTCCAACCTTGACACATCCACTTGGATATTTCAAAGAAATGCAAACTGAGTATGTTTAAAACCACACCCATGATATAAATACCACCCTTCCCAATTTTCCCCTTCCACCATCCACCCTACTTTCCACTAGGCCATGAGCCTTGTTTAGGTAGGAAGCCTCCAAACTCCTTAGTGTTAGTCTCAGGGGATGGCACCACCATTCACCCAGATGTGTAAATCAGAGAACTAAGAGTTATTCTTTATACCCTATTCTTCTGCTGTATACCCATGTATTTCAAAATGCAAACCTGAACATCTCACCCCTTATATAAAAACCTTCAGTGTCTCTCTCCTACCCAGAACAAGACTGAAATCTTCAATATGACTAACAAGGCCTTACCTGGATTGGCCTCTGACTTTTTTTCTAGCCTTGTCTCATAGCATCTTCCCTTGCTTTATGGTACTTCACCACATTGGCCTTTCTTTTTTTATTTCTTTACATATCTTCATGTTTCCTATTGCTGTAAGACCGTCATGGATACAATTCCTCCCCACAGAATACACTTACATTCTACCCTCCATCCTCTCACCCCCCTGCTTCAAACATCTGCTTGTACTTTCAAGCATCACTTCTTCCAGAACTGTGCAGTCTAAATCAGAAACTAAAACATTTACCGTAGTTTATAATTACATAGCTAAGCCTTTGACTATTTGGATTACTGTCTATCACTTATCCATAATTTTGTCATAGCAAGACAGGGCTGCTCCAGCACTCATCACAGTCCTAGGCACTTAGCAAGGACTCAAATGTTTACAGAATAAATTATATGAAATTATCTCTTCAAAAATACATGTAATATGCACTATTGCCACTAGAGGCTGCCTTGCTTCTTTTTTTATTCCTCCAGAACAACACAAAAACTGTAAAGATTCAGTACACATAAAAAAAGAAAAAAGAAAAAAAAAAATACGAATTTATGCTTAAGTCATTTACTATACATAAAATTGCAGTGATCCCAAAATATGTTTTACATACTACTTATGTTATTATGGCCCAACACATGTATATTAAGGAATATTAAGCAATATTATTATTATCTTCAAACAGAATATTTTTTTCAGTTTTACTGAAAAGGCTCAATCATTTAGGCACCTCTCAAAATAAGTGAATAATTATTAAATTTTAAAGGACACATATCCATGTACCAATAAAAATTTATGCTAGTGGAATACTACACATTACAAAACAATAAAAAGTTAGATATCTCTAAAACTTTAAGTCAACAGCAATTTGCATTTAAAATTTTACTTATGGTTATCTTAAGATTATTATATGCAAAATAATTTTTTTACACACTAAAAAGATTGCAGTGCTTGGGGGGGAAAAGCGCAATCTGTCACATTTTCATCACTAAAATACAAACTTCAATGATTATTCTGATTACTTAATGAAACACTAGCTGTAAAGACCTACATTAATGTAAATCTTGATAAGTAAAAAAAAAAAATCCCAATATATTACTAATAAACTATTGTTAAGTAGAGATCAGCAATATTTTAAATTGATAAATAAATATTTTAAATTGATAAATAAACTTCTATATTGTAGAAAAGCAAGGTACTTACAGAGAAGACTGGCCAGTTGATTTGTTATGAGTGTGAATGATCATATAAACAAGTCCATGATTATAGGTTATAAAGTAGAATCAGGAAACTACATTTGTACAGGAAGCCAATCATAAAGAAATTCTACGTCCAACTTCTTACAACTATCTGAGGAAACAAAATCTATGTTCAACCTATATTTTAGAAGTCAGACCCTAAATTAAAGCTATGTCCTTTGGGCCCTAATGACTTGTTTTTTCCAGTTAATTTTTGTTTTATTTTTAAAACCCTGTCAAATATTTTCAACATATAGTAATATTACATTAATTGATAACTGACTATAATAACAACATTTATGGTATACCAAGTACCAGATATTGTGACAAACACATTCCTAATCCCATGTACTTTCATTATCCCCTTGACAATAGATGAATGTGAGATGAGAGAAGTAACTTTTTAAAGGTCTGACAGCAAATTACAACTGGGATAAGAACTTTGGGCTCTTCACCTGAAAAGAACAATCCTCTTCAAGGACTTTAAGTGCAGGAAATTTCTAAAATTCCCCATTAAAGAGATGAAATTGTAAATAAACTATTCATTTCTAATCATGCCCTTCCCATGACATTCTTAATCCACCCATTACTCCAGAAATTGGTTCCATTTTTCAATCTTTCTGGCAAACTCAATTACAATGAGGATCAATAATCCCTTCTGTCAAGAAATATGTAACAAGCCCTAGCCAGTTTTGCTCAGTGGATAGAGCATCAGTTTGCATACCTCGGTTGCAGGCTCAATCACACCCCCGACATGGTTGGGGTGCATGTGAGAAGCAACCAATAGATGTATCTCTCTCACATAGATATTTCTCTGTGTCTCTCCCCCTTCCTTCCATTCTCTTTAAAAATCAATGGAAAAATATCCCTACAAAAAATATATTTATAACAAGATAGAGCATTAGTTATTTTTAATACTATTTTCCTAAAATGATATTTTTTCCTGCATTTTTCTTCAATATATGTCTCAGAAAAATATTTAGAATTTGAACATTAGGACCTAATGTTCTATTTTTATTTTAATTCCAAAAAAACTTCTAGCAAAAAAAAAAAAAAGCTTCATTCAAATTAAAATTTTAGTTTACTGAGCCTGGGTAAACTGAAATTAAAGCCTACATTTAACTGTTGGCATCCCTTTACATGTAAACCAATAACGTGGCCTAAGGTTACATAAGAATGCTCTATTTTAATTTTTCCATAGAACCAAAGGAGATACTTTACTGCTTGGATATAATATGTAACTTATCTGATAACATAATTACTGCTACCTATTTAATTTGGTCCTTAAAGGAAGCTATACAGAAAGAAAGGAAATCTTAAACCTGCAAAAGGAGCAATTTACGAGTGAAGAAAATAGAAGCTCTTAGGAATAGCACTCTAATACTGTTGACTAGAACGTAATATCCCATTTACCACCTCCAACTGTAATTAAGAAATGATATAAAAGACAAATGTTGGACTTGCAACTTTTGTATACTTCCTTTATGTGCTAACATTTGATAAAAATCAAAGCTGTCTAAACCATTTAGGTTTTAAAATAATTAAGTTTCACTATCAATACTTGAATTCCAGTCTAAATGGAACAAGGTGCAAGACATAGTGAAAGAAGAATGGCTTTGGACGTTAAGCTAACTGATTTTAGTTCCTTTGAATATTTATGAGTGGAGTTGACTGGACCAGGTCAATGGAACGTTTTTAGGCTTAACTTTACTTACTTTTCTACTTGATGGGGCTGAATGTGATATTCTAAAGGGTCTCCTGTTGAGCAAATATTACGTATTAAGTTCTAAGTGTTTATTGAGCCCCTAACCGCTTGTTATACAAGTCCAGGCTGTCAGGATATTCACAGATCCTGGCAAATCCTTTTTCTATTTGCTCTCCGCACTCCCCCCGCCCCATCCCGCTGTCGTTCCACAGCCCTAACGTGAGCACCCGACGGCGCTCCCTAGAAATGCACGCAGCCGGTGCAGCTGCCAGGCCTTCAGGGTAAGCAGGCACATGGCTGGGAAGGGAAAGATGAGAAAAGAAGCCACATTCTAACTACTGCCCCGGGGACCCCGCTACACAGGCGGGGAAAATGCCGCCAGTTAGCGGCAACCAGAAAGAAAACGTGAAGCGTGCTCCAGAAGCCGCGATCTGCGGGCACGGGGCCAGTTTCGGTGCCACCGCGCACCTTGGTGTCCTGGTCCCCGGATTTTACCTGAGGCTCATCCCGGTCAAGCCTGATCCGGGAACGAGGCCACCTCAGCGCGAAGGCAGGACTCCACTCTTTGGCAGAGTTCTCTCTGCCCACCGAAAGGACGGCCAAAGGAACGTTCCTAAGTCGCCGTCACAAACGCATCTCAGCCACGGAACGCCCCCTGTCACCTACCTGGCCAGCAACAGTTCTCGCGATAATTCCAAGACCAAGTTCTCCGTAACCCCGCCTCCTCCCTATTCCTCTAGCCAATCAAACAGGAGTGAGGGCGGGGTTGTGCATTTGAGTCCAGAGCGGCTTTGCTGGTGGGTTCCGTGAACCTACGGGGCTGGGGCGGGGCGGGCGCAGGACGGGGCGGGGAGAAGGGGAGGAGAGAACACGCTCTATTTCTCGCGAGACTAGGGACCAGGAAGACGCCTGCAAAGCCGGGCTGCTGTTGCAGCCGCGGCAGAGGCGGTGGGTGTTGCTGCCTCCGGACCTTCTGCCTCTGAGCCGACGCCTGATCTCCAGGTGGAGAGGCGGGACGTGGCCAGGCCCGGGCTGTGGAGGTGTGCAGTGCCCGCTGAGGGGAAGGGGGAATATCAGGCTGCGGCCTGTCATCCAGTCTGGGAGGTGCCCGCACGCCTGACAGGATAAGATGGCGGCGATGGTGCCTGGAGGTGGTGGCAGTGGTAGCGGCGGCGTGAATCCATTTCTCAGTGATTCAGACGAGGATGACGACGAGGTAGCGACGACCGAGGAGCGGCGGGCAGGACTTCGGCTGAGTTCCGGGGGCGACCTAGATCCTGGCTCTGCGGACTCGCTATCGCCCCAGGATCCCGTGGCCTTAGGGAGCAGTGCACGGCCGGTGCTCCCTGGGGAGGCGGCGGCTGCGATGGCCCTGGGGGGCAGCGGGGAGAACCCGGCCCGATTGTCAATTGATGCGATCGCGGCTCAGCTGTTGCGGGATCAGTACTTGCTGACCGCCCTGGAGCTGCACACCGAGCTGCTAGAGAGCGGCCGAGAGCTGCCTCGGCTGCGCGACTACTTCTCCAATCCGGGCAACTTCGAGAGACAGAGTGGGACCCCTCCGGGGATGGGGGCGCCGGGGATCCCCGGAGCAGTCGGCTTTGGAGGCGCAGGAGGTCGGGAGCCGAGCATGACGTCGGGCGGGGGACAGCTCAGTAAGTGAAAGTAGCCTGCCTGGCCCGCCGGGTTGTTAGGGTTGTGGGGGAGGGTGTTTCTGGGCGGATACGGAATATTATGGACATTTTAGACAGTTGCAGAGGGTAGGGTTTTTTTTTTTTCGCAGTGACTTCTCTCCCCCCACGTCTGCCTTCATCCCTTGGCTGAACTTGCACTGGTTCCTGGCTCCCTAGTTGGGTGTGTGTATCTATAAAAATATCCAGCGTTTCTAGTTCACTGGCTATTACAGGACTCCAGACGTCTCCCTTGCAAACTGGCTTATCGCTTTAATCATTTTTCCCTTTTCTCCAATTTCCTGAATCGCCATTACCAGGAAATAATGTTTCTTAAACTGTTCACTGTAATTTGACTGAAAGTCAGGACCAAGAAAAGAATAGGAAATATTGTTGCTCTGCCTCCACTGAAGACCCTTTGTCTTTGGAATGACTTTCTCATAAAAAAAAAAAAAAAAAAAAAAAGATGGGGTTTTCAACTGCATGAAATATGGTTTCTTTCAATATACACTAATTCAATTTCTATGCCTTAATTTCAATAGTTTCCAAAATGACAGAAATCTAATGAGCAAGGTAGGCAAATTCAATCTGCAGTCTATCTCATAGTCCCATCACACTGAAGCCTTTGTAACCTGAATTAAGTTAGAAATTTACTTTTTTACTTGTTAAAATTATTTTTAGCAGCACAGAGTAATCACTTAACTCATTTATCATATACTACGGTATATTTTTAATTGAATTTACTGGGGTTTTATTAGTTAATAAAAGTATATAGGTTTCAGGGGTACAATTCTATAATATTGTGTGTACACCATTCCAAGTCATGTCTCTTTCCAGTTCCACTTACTAGGTGTACCAGTTAACAATGCAGATTTTGTAACCAAAGAAAACATGATAATTTCAAGAGAAACATTTAAAGTGCTTTATTCAAAGTAATATCCATCGCTAGCTACACATTTCCCCATCTTTCAGGTAATTTGTGGATAGCATCCCAATAGAACTTTTGTTTTGAGGCAAACCGTTCAGAGACCCAATTTTTCACTTCTTCATACACTTTGAAATGCTGCTCAGAAAGTGCGTGTGCCACCGATCAGAACAAGTGGTAATCTGAAGGAGCAAGGTCTGGTGAATACAGCGGGTGGGTTAAAACTTTCCAGGCAAGATCTTTTAACTTTAACTGGTTTTGAAGTGTGATGGTGCATTATCATGAAGCAAAATTACTTTGCTGTGTCTTCTGGCACATTCTGGTCATTTCACGATCAAAGCGTGATTCAAATTGATCATTTGTTGTCAGTAGCAATCAATAACAGTTTCACCTGGTATTAGAAGCTCATAATACACCACACCTTCCTGATCCCACCAAAGGCAAAGCATTGTCTTTTTTCCGAAGCAATTTGGCCTTGCAGTCAATGTTGATGGTTGACCTGGATTAACCCAGGATTTTGTGCATTTGAAATTCTCAGAATCAATCCACTTTTCATCGCCAGTCACAATTCGATGACTTTTTGGTTTTCCATTTGCCTTCCGTTCAATTGATTCGGCACCCATTTTCCTTCCTTTAAAATCTTTCCCATTGCTTGGAAATTGTTTGCTGAGCAACGTTTAATCTTTCTGCAAGTTGTTTTTGAGTTTGAAACGCATCTTTATCCAATAATGCTTGTAATTGTTGGTCTTCAAACTTTTTCGGTTGACTTAGACATTGTCTTTCACATCGAAATAATCACTTTTAAAGCATTTAAACCAGCATTCACAGGTATCTTGAGATAGAGCATGCTCACCATAAGCTTCCCGAAGTATATGTTAACTTTTTCTTCAAAATAAAGTAATGAATTAAAAGTTCCTGCAAATGTTCTTTTTTTGGCACAAAATTCGACATTTTAAGCATAAAAATATCTATGATGTTAACACCTTCGGCAAATTTGACATGAAGTTTGAAGCTTCTCGTCAATACAACAAAATGGCATACATATCAAATCGCATATATATCAACATATGTGTAACTCCATCTATTGAAAAAAATCTGCATTATTAACTGGTGCACATTTACCCTCTCTTACCAGTTCCCATGCCCCCTTTCCCTCTGGTAATCACCATACTGTTGTCATTCTATTAGGGTTGGAATTTTTTTTCTTTAAATTTTTGTTGTTATTGTTGTTAATCTCTTCATCTTTTTCACCCAGCTTCCCTTCCCACCCCCTGTCAGTCTGCTCCCTATGAGTCTGTTTCTATTTTATTAATTTATTTTGTTCATTAGATTCCACATATAAGAGAAATTATGTGGTACTTGTCTTTCTTTGAATGGCTTTTTAGTTTTAAAAATTGATTTCAGAGACAGAAAAAGGGAGAGGGAGAGAGACAGAGAAACATTAGTATGAGAGAGAAACTTCACTTCTGAACACACTCCAATCAGGTATTGAACCCAAAACCTTTCAGTGCACAGAGCAGCACTGAACCAATAGAGCCACATAGGCCAGGGCTGAATGGCGTATTTCACTTAACATACTCTCCAGGTTCTTCCATGCTGTCTCAAAGGAAAAGATTTCCTTGTGTGTGTTTTTATGGCTGAGTGTTACTTCCATTGCTTTTTTATCCCACAGCTTTTTTTATCCCACTGCTTTTTTTGTCCCACAGCTTTTTTATCCACTTATCTGCTGCTTTCAGATCTTAGCTATTGTAAATATTGCAATGAAATAGGAGTGCAAATATTCTTTCAAACCATTGTTTTTGGTTCCTTGGGATATATTCCCAGAAATGGAATCACTGGATCATAAGACAGTTCCATTTTTTATTTTTTGGGTTAACTCCATACTGCTTTCCACAGTGGTTGCACCAATCTACATTCCCACCAATAGTGCATCAGAGTTCCCTTTAATCCACATCCTCCCCAACATTTGTTTGTTGATTTATGGATGATAGCCATTCTGGCAGGTGTGAGGTGATATCTTATTATGATTTTAATTTACATTTTTCTGACGATTAGTGACACTGAGCATCTTTTTATATGTCTATTGGCCATCTCTATGTCTTTTTTTGGAAAAGTTTCTGTTCATGTCCTTTGCCCTTTTTTAATTGGATTGTTTGTTTTTTGGTGTCAAAGATTATAAGTTTTTTATAAATTTTAGATATTAACCTCTTATCAGATATATCATTGACGGATATATTCTCCCACTCACTGGGTTGTCTTCATTTTGTTGATGGTTTCCTTTGCTGTGCTAAAATCTTTCAGCTTGGCCCTGGCTGGTGTGGCTCAGTTAATTGAAGCATAGGCCCATGTACCAAAAGATGGCTAGTTCCATTTCTGGTCAGTTTACAATGGGAATTCTTACAGGAAGCAACTGATCAATGTTTCTCTCTCACATTGATGTTTGTCCCTCTCTCTCACTTTTTCTCTCTCTTAAAAAAAAAAAATTCAATAAAATTTCTTAAATTTTTAGTTTAATGTAGTCTCACTTATTTTTTCTTTTGTTTCCCTTGTAGTATCTTAGCTAGAGGAATGCTGGTTTCACTTGAAGGAATGAGCTTTAATAAAAATGGGATTTATTTTGTTAGGATGAGCCTAGTTTTTTGTATAGTAAAGACATTAAGTGGTTAAATGGAAAAGACAGGTAACTTCTGCTTTTCAGTGATGGATTTCTTTTAGGCACGGCATTTACCAGGCCTTTAGATTTTTATAAGGCAACTCATTTACCAGGAGGCAGTCACTTATGATTAAATATGATAATTTCACTTGTGAGTCTACAATCTTTTCGTCATCTTCCTCCTTTTTAAAAATTTTCTGTTTCATACTACCTATCCTTTCTCAGAGCTCTCAAAGAGTACATATCTCACTGTGCTCAGTGTTTCTTTTCTAGTATCACCAGTGCTAAAACATCATAATTACAGTCTTCCAAAGTTCTCATCTCTTTCACTTTACAAAGTAGTTCCTACCTGTTAGACTGGAATTGGATTTAGTGCTTCCTCTGGTTTCTGGGAGAGAAAATATCAACAGGATATTTACCTGTTGTATAACTGTCATTTTTCTTGCCTATGCCTTTCCAGTACTTTTTAAATTACTAATTCTTGTAGAAATTTATTCAGATATGTTCACTGCCTAGTACAATAGTTTGAATATAATTGGTGTTCAATATTTTACATTGATTAATATATTTCTTAATTGTGTGATCAGTTAAGAATTGTAGGAATCCAGAAGATGTATGATGCATGTTCATGAAGGAGAGGCAAAACTAACACATGGGAGAACTATAGAATAGTCTTCTGTGCTACAGATAATAGCGTAAACAGTCAGATATAGAAAAACCATTATCGATTATGGTAATGAAATAGCCCTTATGAGAAAGTAAAGTTTAAATTTGACCCTCAAGGATGGGTGAAATTTTGACCAAATAGTGACTTTATTATTTGGCCAAATTTAGACTTTTTATCCTGAGTGAGGGAAGGAAAAGGAAGTGAGTTAAAGAAAAGATAATATTTTATATTTTTCCTTGTTTAAAACATCTTCTGGGAACATGTTTACCATTATCTGGCTCTCCACTTAATAAAGTGTTTCCATTTGGGTAGCTCTAAAAATGCTGATTGATGTTTTAAGCCACTGTGGTACTTTGGCTAAAAGTAAGCAAGATAGGGGTATTAATCAGGGAAAGCAGACCTTCTATCAAAAATTAAAATTACACTTTCTGGTTTTCAAACAAGAAAATTAGGGGTGATGTTCAGAATGTATACTTGTTTGTTTTTTAAAAACTTTGGTTGAACAAGAACCTTTCAGAAATTGGTGTAATTTTAATTTTGTTTATTAGTATTTTTAGGTCCAAAGCTAAATTTGATTAATTTTTTATGGCTTTTTACAGTGTCCCCTCTACTTTTGCACCATCCTTACCTTAACAGCCTATATTTTTCTTATAGGTAGTTGTTTTTACTGGCTTCACCCAATAAGTACTGTGAGAGTTAATGATGAATTATGGTTTCTAAATTATTGATACTAAAAGCAT